GGGGGGGGGGGGGGGGTGAAAGTTCAAAAAGTTCAAGAAGACAGAGGATGGCTGCGCAGCTGACGGTGCGTAAACACTCCCCACACCACTGCGACGGGAGGCGGAGCATGTTTGGATGTTAAACGACAACAGAAAAATAAAATCATCGTTAGAAAAATGGAGTTTTTGAATCTTTCCCATTGAGAAAAAAAAAATCGAATGGAGCGAGAGCGAGAGGGGGGGTTACAGAGGGCGGGTGGGGGTACAGAGAGAGAGGAGGAGGTGAGGAGAGTGGAAGGTGCCCCCAACACTATGGCACACAATCAATGAAGTCCAACAGGCTGAAGAGATGACAGAATTAAGAAAGAAGCTGCATGAGCTTTTTTTTTTTTTTTTTTTTTTTAGGTGGAGAGGCAGGACAGGAGCAGCCAACCTGCAGAAGGGTTAATCCTTGTCTGTGGGGGGGTGGTGAGGAGGAGGAGGAGGAGAAGGTGGTGGTGGTGGTGGGGGGGCAAGGTGCTGCTCAGTTGAGGCGTCATGAGCGACATCATGTTATATGAGGGCGGAGCATGCTGGCTTCATGGGTGCTTCCAGGATGGATGTCCGACACAACAAGAACAACTCAAAGAAACGCTTGGAATGGTCACTGTTGTTGTCTTTTTTTTAATCTTTTTTTTTTCTCTCTCTGTTCTAGTTTGGCACTCGAGAAAAGAGAATCATGGAGGGGGGGAGGAGGAGGAGGAAAGTGTGTGCATGTTTTGGGCGAGGAGGAGGAGGAGGAGTGGGCAGTGAAAAGTGCACAAAAAAGAGAGCATGGAGTGTGTGTTTTCATGTGTGTGTGTGCAGAAAAAAAAAGGGGTAAACAAAGCTACACACAGAAAAATGGCATCTTGTTAAAAACTGGTTTGGGTTAGACCGTACAGTTCAAATCAAAACCAGGAAAACAAACGAAGAAATCAACAGAGCGAAGGAGAGGAAACAGAAAAACAGTGATATGACAAATGCAGTCTACAGTTGCTGGTGCTTCGATGGGGCCCCGAGGCTGGGACAGGAGGGGGAGGGGGGACAGCGTGGTGGGTGTGGGTGAGAGTGGGTTTGTGGAGGTAGGTGAAGGAGGAGGGGGCGGGGCACAGAAGAGATACTGAAGAGCCACACACCCACTGAGAGGTCACCTGGCGAGCAGGTAGAAGTGGCGTCTCACTGCGCTGTGACTCTGCGGAGTGTCACGCTTCTTTGTCACTCAGAATAATAATAAAAAATACATTTTGGAAAACTGGTCCAAAAGCGTACTTCAGCAGATTAAATCCCAACACGACTGCAAAGGTGGGTACAAAAACGAGCCGAGGTAGAAAACAAACAAACAAAAATAATAATAATAATGTGCGCAGCCACCAATGCAATCCTGCACAGGTGAGCGCCGCAGCTCCCGGCCGGTCGCAGATCAGTGAGACGCCACGAGGGTTCGACTTCCTCTGAACATCACAGTCAAATCAAAAGAACCATCATAGAAAAAAAACAAAATGTTTCAATGAAAACACCACGAGCACCAAGCCAAGTCTAAAGCAGACGAACCCGGAGAGGAGCATGCACATCGAAAACACCACGAAGAGGCTGCGCAGCTTCAGTGGTCTCGCACGCCGACGCCCCCCACGACCCCAGCTCGACCTGCCATGCACAACATCAGCAGAGAGTTTAGTGCAAATGTGTCCCACGAAATGACGTGAAGTCTGATGGACTGATGTTTGATCGGTGACGATGAGCCGAGACTGAGTTTGGCAGGTTCTGCCTCTTTCTCACACAAGTGGGCGGAGCCTGACTCCCTGTTAGGGTGGATAAGGTGCGCATAAGAGACAAGACAAGCTCAGAGCCTGGGGGGCGGGGCAGAAAAGCACACACAGCGGAGTGTGTGGATGTGTTAGTAATGTTAGAGTACCTACAAAAAAACACATGGAAACTTTGAGCGGACACCCGTCAGAAGAATGAAATGCAAACTAATGAAACGATGAGTACATTCACAGACAATCTCCATCTACATATAAAATCAAATCCTGGCTTAGTTTTTTTTTTTTTTGTATCTTTGCTTTAAAACGCAACTTTGAAACGTTTTTTTTGTCCAAGCTGGCTCGACACGTAAAAATAACAAAAATTAAATTGTTCTTCGAGGAAGTCAGCGAAACCACAAACGACGCCGCGGAAAACAAACGCGACGGCGAGGAATAACAGCGAACACTCGACGGCGTGAAAAACAATATCACAATGCTCGACCCTTATCGGCATGCAGAGATTTGTTTCAGAAAAATGAACACACAATGCCTTTTGTTTTTTTTAAACGTATTCTTTTTTCTCTTTTTTTTGTCCACGCTTCACTTTGATATCATGCAATATAGACGTGCAAAAAAGATAACATCTATTTCCACAAAATACATTTTTATTGTAACTATAAAAGGCTGTATTTAAGAATGCTATCTAGTCACATTTTTATTTTAGCATGGTTATGCTAACCTACCACTACAGCGATGAGTCGTAGTGCTGTTGCATTCTGGGAGCTGGCTCTCCCAGAGGACTGGCTGACACTAACATGGCGGCCCCTCCTCTAGACGCGGGGCTGGAGCAGAAAAATACTGAGCAGCTTCACCCGTCCCATCAACGCACTTAGAAATATGGTTCATTTGGCACTTTTCACATTTTCTTCATATAAAAGTAGGTTTTCTCCTGTCGTCTAATGTGGCTTGAAAGAACACATTTAGAGTTTTAACTCTGTTTTGGCACAGGTTTCATTTCTTCAGATTAAAATCCACTCTTTTTTTAATGTTTACTTAAAACAGAGCAAATATTACACTTTAAACTGCCACTTGAGACTAGCTTATCCAGCTAACGGACAGGTTTCGATATGTTTTCAACTCGTTTTTTTTAGTACATCAGTATTATTAAATAGCAGCATTTTCCACAAATTCCAAAAAAAAAGATGTAATCGTGTATCAGCTCCTACAGGTGAATCTAAAAGCTCCTACGGCAGACAGAGGATAGAGACAGGACGACACAACATGCCTCTACACGTATTGCTTCCAGTACTTGTCACATTTTTAGTTCAATCTAACATTAAAAGAAGTAAAGAGAGTGGCTGCTGGGTAAAAGATAGTTTCAGAGAAATGATGTGGAAAAACTAAACCTGCCCGGCGTTAGTTAAAGTTTCTACCAACATATACGGTGCTGCATGCACGTCTTTGCTTTCTGCAGGGAAAAACCTGACAGAAACTTGTAAAAATATACATATTTTTGATGCACTGATATTTAAATTGATCATATTTTGGCTGCGTAATTATATAAACCAGTAAAAAAAGCATGTTTCAGATTTATAATTTGTCACACTTGTAGTAAAACAGACTCAGGAAGCTCATTTTTATGCAGATATTTGACATGTTTGCTGGACAGATGATAAACTAGTGATTAATCGTGAATGCATGCAGCAAAGTATACTGTGTGAAGGTTAGAACAGAAGCAAACTACCTGATTACGTTTCCCACTAAATCCAGTCAAATCCTGTCAGACTTGATGTGTGTTTGTGCAAATCAATGCTTGTGAAAGTAAAGTCTGAGCTACAGATGAGGGGTGTTTTTGCGCCCTGCAGCCTGCTGGCCGCCGCTTCCTCTGCAGGCGTAGAGGCTCCGCCCCTGCCGAGGGGAGAGCCTGACATGCATCGACCGTAACACCAGACAGAGTCACCCATGGAGCGATGTGTTAGGTGGGAGAGGGGGGTGTCGGGATGGGAGTGCGCTGGAGAAACTGAGGACGGTGGGAGGGTGAGGAGAGTGTGGATGGTGTTAGATGGGAGTAAAGAAGCCTCCTTACCGAGCTGCGGAGATAAAACCCCCTCACTGGCACTCCAACCCAGAACGACACAACCCAGTTAGGGTCGGACTGATCGCTGAAGATTAAAAAATAATCTCTTTTTTTGTATTTTAAAGAGGAATGGAGACCCCTCCCCTCACCAGGATCAATTTAAAATCACCCCCCCTCCTCAGTTTCATCTAAACTCACATTAAACTGCACAGGTTGATGAAAGAGACAGAGCTGAACCTGAACTCCAAACCGGTCTGAAGCTCAATTGATTGATCCTCTTCATTGACCTAATCTCCTCTCCTTCCATATTTAGATATGACATGCTTCCCAGTAAAGTTCTTCATATGCATCCTACATATATTTCATATATGTGTTGGTTTTTGTTTTGTTTTTTTTATCCCTGCCATACAAAAACAAATTATCCAGTCACGATCTACATCCCTGACCTCGCAGGTCCATAAAACTGCTTTCCAGCTTCACAGTGCATTAAGACAAAAAAAAATAAAATAAAGAATAAAAAAATTCAGTGTACTCCGATTATTAAAACAAACACAAAAAACATAAATAAGATCAATAACAACAACAAAAATAAAAACAGCATCTTCAGCAGCCTTGTGGGTGGGCAGTAAACCTCTGCTCCCTGGATGAAAACGTGTCACCTGCTCTTCACCTGGTGTCACCTGGACGGTTCTTAGAGATATGCAGCGCTGCCAGACAGGCTTCAGCAGTGGACCCCAGACAAACGACGCTTTATTGCCCCCCCTCCCTTTTTAAAATTTTTTTTTTAATCAAGGTCGGCGTCTCTCAGTAGTTTTAATCACAAGTGCTGGATCTGCTCTGTGGCTCGGGACCATCTGAGGCTGAGCAGCAGAGAACTGGTCTCAGCTCCTCAGCTCCTCTCAGTTATTCATTTCTGCTGCAGTTTTATGCAGCGGGGCTTTGTACTCCAAACACAGACAGCAGGGATATGCTGCAGAATGAGGTGTAATAATCAGGTATCTCTGGTTAGTATAGCTGCACTGCTGTCTGGACTGGGACTGGTTTCACATACGTTTTTTGCTAAATTAAAAGTCTGCATTATAGATATGAGCAATTTGCCTTTGTAGCACCAAATATGGCATTTTTTAGTTTCTATGTGTGTGTGTGTGTGTGTGTGTGTGTGTTCCCTGTTCTGCTGTTTGACTGGATATAATCACTTTACTGTAATGATCTTAACACCTGGAGCGGCTTTCCTAACTGGACTTAAATAAGACATATATTACACTATGTGACATTACGATTCATCTTCAGTCCACTTATATTAAAACAAACAAAAATAAAGAAAAGAAAAAAATAGTCTCATTTACATTCATGTCAACCTGAATTCACAGATTCCCAAAAAGAAAAAGTGAGCTTTATCGGGGTGGTCTGGTTAATAAATAGTGACGATGGTGATGAGACAAAATCTTTGTCGGTGTTTGTTTAAGACTGCAGAGACGCTGGGGGTCCTGAGTGTTCACCACAGCATCACACACATCGTGTTTGTGTGTAGCTCCATGTTCAATCTACAACATGAGACATTATTTATTCACAATGGAACATAATGATCAGATAAAATGCTTCAATGAAATAATTGTTGCTTTCTTCAGGGGAAATTGTGTAATTTAGATTTTAAGGCAGCGACAGATTTGAATAAAGTTTGTTTTTGGTTTAATTTTCTCATATGGAGATTATTCTTATTATTAGTTTAAGTTCCTGGTTTGAAGTTGTTGGGTTTTTTTATAAGGGGAAAATGTTAGATTTGTTTCTTCTTTCTGCACACTTTCCATACAGTAATTGATTTATTTAGTTTTTAAGAATGATATAAAAATGAATAAATATAATAAAGTTGTCCAAGAAGCAACAAAAGGAGAAAAGGATTTTTGCAACTAATTGTGATTAATTAAAAGAGGTTCAGCTTTCAAAGCCAGTGGAATAATTTCAGAATAAAGGTCCTCCAGCTCATCGAGTCATCCATAGATGCTGCTTAAAGCTCTATCGTGCAAATTAGAAGCCGTATATGAAGCGCTGCCGTCTGTCTTTTATTATGTTTGATTGTGAATAAAAATGTTTAATTAAATTGAAGTTGTTGTTTTACGACTTTTTTAGAATTGTGGTTGTAAAACAGTGGAGCCATCACACCCCTGCAGCTGGTTGTACAGGTGTGTGTGTGTGTGTGTTTGTGTGTGTGTTTGCGTGTGTGCAAACGAAGAAACGTTCACCCTCCCCCACCCCCCACCCCCCTCGGCCCTGTCACGAGGAGCGAAGGGGAGCTCTGGGGGATGGAGTCGGGACGTTTCTTCCTCATTGCAAAGTTTTCGTTAAAAGGGGGCGGGGCAAAAAAAATCGTGTGAGGAGGGGTTTTGAGAGAGGCGGGGCAAATCGATTTGAAAAACAAAAGCCCTGCTGTAGATGTGGGCTGAAGGGGGGGAGGGGGGGTAAGGGTTGTTTCCTTACAGGATCTTGGAAGTGAGGGGGGGTGGAGGGTTGTACCCTGTAGAAACACCAACCCTCCCCCTCTCTGCGCCCCTCCCCCCCCGGCTGCAGGCTCGGTGGGCCTGCCTACATGGCATTCAGCTCTGTCCACACGACACACGAACAGACGACTTAATTTACTGAACGAAACGAAACAAACAATAAAACAAAACAATAAAAATCCCGAAAGGTCAAGACGTTAAGTAATAAAACCATATTTACATTTTACACATTTTTTTTCTTGGATTTTCGGCGCTCCTCTCCCTCCTCATCTTCTCAGCACGTTTTTGCTTTGTGTCAAAGACTCTTTTTTTAATACTGAAAACACGCAGAAGAAAACAGATTCCTTCCAACATTTTTGACCTCCTCTCCATTTCCCTTTCACTCTCGCTTTCTCTTTAAATTCTCCTCCCCCAAGCCCCCTTTTCTTTCTTTTTTTTTCCCTCTTTTCCTCCTCGTTTCTCATTGGCTGTCAGGTTTAGCCCACCTTCTGTGGGTTGGTGGCGCGTACCCCCTGCTCGTAGGTGATCCGCTGGCTGATCAGGTACTGTGCGGCCTGCGTGGCGGCCTGTGAGCCTGTGATGGTCACCTTCCTGTTCCGGGTTCCTGGGATGAACTCGCCTTTCTTGGAGATCTGGATCCGGGCGCCGGTCAGCTCCTGGTACTCCACTAGCGTCTTCCCTCCTTTCCCCAAAATGGCTCCCACCAGGTTCTCTGGCACGGCGATCTCGACCACTTCCTTCGCTCCTTCTGCCAGCTTTTCTGTAGCCAGCAGGGACGACGCCACCAGCGGGGACGCGGCGCTCAGGTAGCCGTTGGTGGCCCCTGTAGCTGCAGCTAAGGAGCCCAGAGAGAGGCCTCCGAGGCTGGCCGCAGGGTGGGCCGCGCTGGTGGACGCATCGCTGGCGTAGGACGCTAACAAATTAGCCGCGGCTGCTGCTGCTGGGTTGGCGTTGGCTGCTACGGCGGCTAACACCCCTGAAGCCGCTGCGGGGTTCAGCCCCAGGCCCAGAGAGTTGGTGTTGTACCCGTAGCTGGCCAGAGTGTTGAGGGCGGAGGTGATGGCGAGCAGGTCGTTGCCCGAGAAGCTGGACATGGTGGTCGGGAAGGCTCCGACTCCAGCCAGGCCCGCCTGGCCAAGCAGAGAGGAAGCCGTGGCCGCCGCCGCCGCCGCGGCTGCCGGCATGACCTCGGTGGAGTTGGCGTACGGGGAGCCGGTGGGGTTGGAGTTGGCGACGGGCCCCGTGACGTTGGAGTAGGAGATGTTGAGGCAGGAGGAGCTCTGCGGGTCCTCCTGGATCTTTTGGACGATGATTTCCACTGCCTTCCGGTTCTGCTCCGGCTCGCCACTGATGGTGACCACGCGCTCCTGCAGGTTGATGCCCTCGGGCTTCTGGGAGAGCTGGACCCACGCGCCGGACTGCTCCATCACCGCTTTGACCGTAGCTCCGCCTTTCCCGATGATTAGCCCGGCCGTACTGTTGGGGACGATCAGCTTGGCCTGGTGGAACGAAAAAACAAACAAATCAACAACTTGTTCAGAAAATTTGAGGCTTTTCACCGAATAATTAATTTAAATATATTACAGTTTAAATAAATCCCATCCAAAGAGTGAAAACAACTTTTACGTGTCGACGAACTCCAGAAGAAACAGAAATAGAGGAAAACAAACTGCAATATGTCAAATAACGATTAAACATTCTGTTTTTGTTTTTAAATATCATTTCGGTGACTAATGGAGCGAAGGGAGGAGAGAAGGAGAACAGGAGATGAGGAGGTAGAAAGAGGTGCGCAGAGTGGGAGGGAAGGATGGATGAGACGGAGAGATGGTTTCTGAAGAGGCTACTTGTGTGAAAATAATACAGAACGTTGACTCCCGGGGGTCAGCATCTCCATGGAAACACAGCGCCGGCATTCAAAGGGTAGTGAAAGGGAGCGAGGCAACGACACACACACACACACAGGTTCGCCCAGCTATACATTTGGGGACATTCCATTGACTTCCATTACATTTCCACAGCCTAACCCTGACCACAAACCCTAATGCTAACCTCACAGGTACCTACCTGACCCTAAAACTAACCTCACAGGTACCTACCTGACCCTAAAACTAACCTAAACTCAATTCACAACTTGGTCCTAAACCCAACTCCCAACCCACCCATTTAAACCAAATGAGGACTCGACTTTGTCTCCAAATGCACCAGTTGTCCCCAAATGTAGGATTTTTGTCTTAAAATTGCCCCCAAATGACACCAAAAACACCCCCCCACACGCACACACACCCCTCACAACCAGTTCATCAGACAGAAGAACTGATTCATTCAGATCTAACTAAACTAACTGTGGCTGTGATGCAGCTTCTCTACCAAACTACCTCATTTATGATTTCTTGTTTTGGGAGGAGGCAGGGATGCAAACAATTAATCAAGTAATGATTAATTGTCAAATAATGGTTTATTAGACCGGACATTTTTCTTTAGTCGCACTATTAGGAAATCTGGTCGCATTTATGACCAAATTGGTCGCACTCTAGAGCCCTGTTAGTTCTGCCCACTACTGTAAAATAAATTAGCCCTTCATGTTATAAAAAGATCCTTGATTCAAGAGAAATGACAGGTTTTTAAGAAAAGGGCTGCTTATCAATTAATCGTTAATCGATTGATGAGATCAATCGACTTTAGATAAATTTATTAATCGATAACTTGCATCCATAGTGGAGGTCCGGAGGGGGTGCATTGTTGCACTTGATGGATACCCTTCATCAGAGCTGAACAAGAAAAAAAAATCTGAAGCTCCTAAGTTGAATAATTTTTGAGTTATAAGCATTTTTGCATGTCCAGACACCCCCTTTTCAGATGGAGCCCCCTCCTCAAATATGGGGTCTATCATAAAACCTTTGGCTGGAGCAGTGTAGGTCGGACTCATCCACAGTCCTGCCAAATTTCATGTTGGTCTGTGCAGACGTTTCCACGCCACAGTTGACCAAAAATCAGTACGAAAACAATATGACCCCCGCTTCACATGCGGGGGGTCCGAACAAATCTTATGTGGAGCAGTTTTTGTGGTTTTTAATTTAGATTTAAACCTTTAGGTGTCAGATGGGTTGGACATGTGCAGAGACAGGCAGTGGACATACTGGACGAAGGCTGATGAAGAGGAGGGAGGGAGGAGGGTTGGTGTGACAGAGGACGACGAAAGTTAAGAGGTCAGTTTTTACAAGAAACCTGTTAAATAAAACTTGTTTTCAGGGTTTAAGCTAGAAGTAAACTTCATGACAGGAATCAAAGTGTTTTTGCGTTAAATCTAAATGAGACACGCTCCTCTATAGAGCATAAAAAAGAGAGAGGGAGGAGTGGGAGGATGGAGAGCAGAAGAAACAAACAGTTGGCCTTGATGAAGAAATAACTCAGAGACGCTGCAGAACAAATCAAAAGAAACAAAAGAAAAACCAGAGAAGAAAAAGAAAAATCCTTGGAGGGCGGAAAGAAACAACCCTGAATGAGAAACATCTTCCTCTGCTTCAGCCTCCTGTTGGCTGCAGTTTCACTATGGTTCACGTGGATCCACAGAGTGACTGTGATGCAGGAGGAAGGTAGTGATGCGTTTTACACAACCATCTTTTCCCGGAGGGTAGCTGTTTGTAGCGGCGCCTCGGTGGGATTAACAGTTTCGTTTTGTTTCTGGTTGTTTGTTTCTGGTTTTCTCTGAAAGCATGAATGAAAGTCTGCGGTGGGCTCGTATCGATCGGGGAGATTTGGTGGTGAGGCTCGTGTCTGCTGACGTCCTGCTGGTGCTCGAGAGCCGACAACAATCTGCTGTCCTGCGCAGATTAATGAGCGAACACTAAGTGTGAACTCCACTTCCTGCTGAGACTCAACAATACGCTTTTTTTTTTTACAACTTTTAACGCTTTCAGATGAAAACAAACAAAATTCTGAATTGTTTTAAAAAAGAGTCATGATTTTTGTTGTTTTTCTTAACGTTTTCCATTTGTTCTTTTACTGACTTTCGCTGATCAGATTTGATTTTTTTCAACAAATCTTTAAAATAATTTATTTCAGATTGATAAAAAATCTGTTTGTGTAAAACCTTTACATTAAATGATTAAAAAAAGAGGTGGGCACAGTTCCGCTAATAGCAGAACTAGCTCCTCCTTTAGCGGATTAGCTTTTTTGCTATCTTTGACTTCCACTAAATTAGGTTCCACTAATTTTAAGGGCACTAAAAATCATTGTGTAAATATTTTTTTCATGGCATTTATCTTGAATTACATAAAAACGATCTGGTCTTACAAGAAATGCTGAACATGTCAGGCACCGTGTGTTAGCATGTAGCATCTTTAGCAGCTCAACTTCAAACTAAGAGCATAAAAAACTATACATTTAACAATATTTAAATAACAAATATAGAAACTGAACACATAAAATGTGGCAGATAAGGTATTTGTTAGCCTGGCCCTTGCCTTCCTACGCAGCTCCGCTCACTTCTAGTTTCGCTGCACTGCTCCGTCTGGGATTTCTCCCATAGACAAGGATTTCTTCAGAATTTTCGTCCGGGCCAATCAGAGAACAGAACGCCAATTTTCTGCGCAGTGTCTGCTTGTAGTTTATTTTACCTGGGCCAATCAGTCAACAGAAGGAGGAGTTTTGAACAACATAGGTTTTCTGTGCAGTGTCTGCTAGTTATTTTAGCATACGGCAGTGGAGGAAGTGAATGAAGCCAGTCTGTGTTGATAAGACTTCCAAATTAAAATAAATTTGTCTGACAAAGCAGCAGCTCTCATTTACAGTCATCTTGTTTGGCTCAGTACTTTTCTCCTCTCAGTAGGGTTGTTTACAGCGCACGTGATTTCCGATTAGCTTCTTAGCTTAGCCTCCTTCACAGCGATATACGTCACGACCAATCCAATCATTTTAAACTTCAGCAGAGGCCACGCCTCCAGCAAGAATCGCTTCTCTAAAGCTGCGAGTCCGACCCTCGTACGAAACAAAGTGAAGGATAAGTGTCTGGTTTTTACCAGGCTAGGTTTCTGTCAGTTGTTTGACAACTTCATGCAGTATTTATAAAAATACAAACCTAAAGAAATGTTTTTTTTTTCTGAAAGGGGTAGACTGGAAGTATCACAAGTTAGACAGAGCTATATCTAGTTTGGATTGGCTGATTTGTCACAGAAGAGCCCGCCTACCTTCAAATGAAACCAATAGAAAACAGTTTTGTGTCAGTCCTGCTAACCTTCTTAGCGGTTAGCATTAGCTTTCACTAATTTAATCTGTTTAGTTATTTAGTGTTAGCGAAGCTAAGATTCTTGTTTAGCCTGTTAGCGGTGAGTGAAGCTAAAGTTTGGGTTAGCTGTGGCCACCACGGATCAAATGATTATTTATGTGTAAAGACCACTGTAATGTTCACTTCAGCTCATGTCATAACCAGGTAAATAATAAATAAGAGGAGCGCGAAGAGGAGGAGCAGGAGGAGAAAGCAGAGCTTCATTATCTGGTGGATGTGATCATTAGCAGCAGGAGGTATTCAGACGCGCTGCTCTTCATCCTCCCACAGTCTCCATCAGCACAGTCCGTGCCTCAGAGCAGAGCGCAGAGGATGAAAGGGATCGTGGGTAAAAATCTTTTCGGTTGCTTCCTCGACTCTCCCACTGCTTCTCATTTAATCCCTCCCTCGTCTTCATGCTGCACCCCACCCCGCTCGTCTCCACACCAGAAAATAACGGTCCGCTCCAACAGAACATGGCGGAACATTTGTATCATTGGATGAATAAAATCAGAGGCATAAAGTCACGGCTGTTTGGATTTCTGCTTTGAATCTTTAATTTAGCAGATTTAGCTCTTAGGTAACCACGTTAGTTTTTACATTTTCACTGGTTTCAACTGTTTATTTTGAATATTTCTGATTAAGATGCAATACTGATGTAAAAATTTATTTAAATCATCTGAATTAATTAAATAATCATCAGAAAAAAACACCTGTTTCTCTAGGAAGGCCTAATGTGTGAGTACACGTTAACTTATTATACAGCCCGTTCTACAGATAAGTACCTGTACATATTCATACATACTAGATAAATGCCTTGTACACATCATGTGAATACTCAGTAAGTATGTACCTAATAAGTACCCAGTATGTAACAGGGAAGTAACTTGTGTGAACCCAGTAAATGCAAGATATTCAGGGCCCCCCAAAAAACATTTGGTGCCCCCCAGTAATTTCCCTTAGCTATTTATTATTGATAAAACCTCATGAATATAAAAACAAACATTGTTTTTTTTAATGAAGAGTTAAAATTTTGAATTTACATTTTGTTTAAAATTAAAAATAATAAATCTAGCCTCTCTGATTAAGGATAATTTACAACTAATGTCCTCGACAATAAGATGCAGGTTCATAAATGTATAAATATATTTTATAATTATATATAATTAAATAGCACAGTTTGTAAACCAACATGTTGCCTCTCAGCAAGAAGGTTGCTGGTTCAAATCCCAGCCT